TCAAGAAAACAATACCATTTGCAATAGCTTCCAAAAGGATAAAAATACCTAAGAATAAACCTAACCAGGGACATAAAAGACCATACGAGGAAAACTGTAAAACACTACTGTAAGAAACTAAAAGAGATCTACATAAATGGAGAAACATTCCATACTCATGGATTGGAAGTCTTAGAATTGTGAAAATGTTAATACTACCTATGATCTCTAGATATAATACAATCCTGATCCACATCCCGATAGCATTCTTTAATGAAATGGAAAAACTAATCTCCAACTTTATATGGAAAGGAAGGAGCCCCAGATAGCTAAAGCAATATTGAAGAAGAAGAACAAAGTATGAGTCTTCTCACTTCTGGATCTCAAAACTTACTATACAGCCATGGTAATCAAAACAGCCTGGTACTGGTTCAATAACAGACACATAGACCAGTTGAATAGAATTGAGAACCCAGAAGTAAATCTGTTGATCTATGGGCAGCGGATCTTTGGCAGAGGGTCAAAGTCCCTTCAATGGGAGAAGAAACAGTCTCTTTAATAAATGGTGCTAGCAAAACTGAGTATATGCAGAAAAACAAATCAGGATCCATACCTCACACTATGCACAAAAACTAACTCAAAATGAATCAAAGACCTAAATATTAAAGCTAAAACTGTAAAGCTTCTGGAAGATAACATTGGGTCAAAACTAGGGAAGCTAATTTTAGGCATAAATATCTTATCAAGTAAAACTAAAAATGCATGAATGACAGAAGATAAATTAGATAACTGGCACCTCCTAAAAATTAAATACTTATGCTCATCAAAAAACTACCAAGAGAGTAAAAATTGAACCTATAGTCTGGGAAAAAAATATTGGCAATGACATCTGATAAAGGTCTAACTCTAAAATGTATAGAAAACGTCAACAACTCAACAACAAAAAGACAAACAGTCCAATTGAAAAATGGGCAAAGGTCATGAACAGATACTTCACCAAAGCGGACATTCAGGCAGCCAACAAATACATGAAAAGATCCTCAGGATTGTTAGCCATTAAAAACCACCAAACCTGTTGCTGTCGAGTCGATTCTGACTCACAGCGACCCTGTAGGACAGAGTAGAACTGCCCCATAGGGTTTCTAAGGAGTAGCTGGTGGATTCGAACTGCCGACGTTTCGTTTAGTGGCCAAGCTGTTAACCATTGCGCCAACAGGGCTCACATTAGCCATTAGTGAGATGCAAATCAAAACTACAATAAGATACCATCTCACCCCTGCAAAAATGGCAATGATAAAAAAAAGGAAAACAGCAAATACTAACAAGGTTGTAAGGGGATTGGAACTCTTATACATTGTTGGTGGGATTGTAAAATGGTATAGCCACTGTGGAAAATAGTATGGTGCTTCCTCAAAAAGCTAGAAATAGAAATACCTTATGATCCAGCAGTCTCACTCCTAGGTATATATCCTAGAGATATGAGTCGTGACTCGAATAGACATATGCACACCTATGTTCATTGCAGCATTGTTCACAATAGCAAAAAGATGGAAACAATCTATGTGCCCAACAGATGAATGGGTAAAAAAACTGTGGTACATACATACAATGGAATACTACGCAACTATAAAGAATAATGAGGAGTCTCTGCAAAACATCTTATAACGTGGGCAAATCTGGAGGATATTATGCTGAGTGAAATAAGTAATCACAAAAAGACAAATATTGTATGCTCCCACTATTGTAAAAAGAAGTAGATATACACACAGAGAGCAAAGTCCTTCGATGGTTACCAGGGATGGGGGAGGGGAAGTGGGGGAACTACTTTCTAGATAGTAAACACTTGTTACTTTTGGTAATGGGAAAGGCAATCCCAAATATGGGTGAAGTCAGCACAACTTGACCAAGGTCAATAAAGACACTAAGAAAGAAGTACGCGAGAAAAAGGGACAATTTCAGTAAATGCTATAACATATACAATTTTGCAGCAACAGTAAAAACAACCAAAAAGTATGTGTGTGATTATGTACTTAGATATGAACGCATATATGTGTATAGGAAGGTACATGCAAATGTACGTGCATGTATAGGTGTATCTGTAGGCCTATGTATATATGTGTTATGGGTACTGCATATACATTCACATATGTAACAAACCACGTGGGGGCACAGTTACAGAAGCTTCCTAGACATATACAGACAACTCAGGATTGGTTTACTGGATTAAAAGGCTTGGGACCATAGTCTCAGGGGACAACTTAGTCAAGTGGCATAACATAGTTCACAAAGATAATGTTCTACATCCTAGTTTTGTGAGTAGTGTCTGAGGTCTTAAAAGCTTGAGAGTGGTCATCTAAGATACAACTATTGGTTTCTACTAGTATGGAGCAAAAGAGAATGAGGGAAATGAAAGGCCCAAAGAAGAAACTAGTCAACGGGACTAATAGTCCACAGGAACCACAGCCTCTTCTAACCTGAGAACAGAAGAACTAGCTGGTGTCTGGCTATCGCTACTGACCATTCTGGCCCGGGATACAATAAAAGATCCCAGATAGAATGGGAGAAAAATGTAGAATAAAACTCAAATTCCTAAAAAAGACCAAACTTACTAGACAGATAGAGACTAGAGGAACCTCTGAGATTATCACCCTAAGATACCCTTTGAACTTGGAATTGAAGCTATTTCTGCAGGTCACCTTTTAGCCAAACAATAAATTGGCTTACAAAATAACAATATCACCCATGATTAATGTGCTCCCTTAAACAATTAACTATAGGAGACCAAATGGTCCACAGTTACCCAAAAGCAGAGATGAGAGGCAAGGAGAGGAGGGGAAGCTAGATCAATGGAAACAGAACAAACAGAATGGAAATAATGAGAATGCTGACACACTGTAAAAATTGTAACCAATGGCTCAGAACAATTGTATAAAAACTGTTAAAGGGGAAGCTAATTTGCTGTGTAAACTTCCACATAAAGCACAATCAAATATTATTAAAAAAAAAAAAAGAAACCTGTGGAGCACAGTTCTACTCTGGCACTCCTGGGGTCACACCCTGAGTCAGAATTGACTAGCCAAAAAAAAAAAAAAAATTCTTAATCATCCTCTTCAGGCATTTCTCCCACTCCTCCAGTATTTCTACTCTCAAGAAAAAAAAAAGTCATTAAAAATCTTTCTATCTTACATACTGGCAAAAGCTACAAAGACATTTTTGGATAGTTGTAGAAATGTGAATATGGACTGTATATTAAATGTTATTATAGAATTATTGATTTTCTTGGATGTGATAGTAGTAGTGTGATTACGTGGGTGAA